AATACATATTTATTTTCACACTGCAATTCATACTCAATTAATAATTCAATGATTCTTCGTATTTATTTTGTGACTAGAGATGTTTAACTGTAAAAAAATAAAATACCTGACATTTTTTGTAAAATTCAATAAATTATTCTAAAAACTTAAAAAAAAATTACTCAGCACAGTAGGATCGCAATGTAGTTGGGACAAGTATAGATCATTTATGACATTGATTAACATTACTATCATAAAAAATGCTTCGATACTAGTCTGTTAAATTTCACAATTATTTGTATATTTGTAAATTTGCATGTGAAATNTGCTTCGATACTAGTCTGTTAAATTTCACAATTATTTGTATATTTGTAAATTTGCATGTGAAATTGCAAATAAATAAAAATTAAAACAGAAATTACACTTTCTAGGTTCTAAAATTTTATTAAAATATTAAATGCCTGTTAATTTGATCTGTTAAAAATAAAGTAATTTTTCTTAAAAGTGTTTCGTGGAAAACAAATTAAAAAATGTATTAGCAAATACTATTAATAAGCAGAAAAATGTGTATTTTTATTTATAAAATATTAATGATGTTTATACACATAAAAATAAAACCAATATAAACCATTTGTATAAAAAGAGTTTTAAATTAAATTTGAAGTTAAACATTAACTTAAAAATTTTTAATTCGTTAAATACTCAATTTTTTTATCTACACTAAAATGTTAGTCTATATTTTAATTGTAAATTTTATTACAGCTATAAATTTCAGTTATACTGTTTCAACAGAAATCAGCCTTCACTGTTTATATTCTAAGTATATGCTTTATTACATGAATACCAAAGAAATCTATTTTCAAAAAGTCGAATCAAAAAAACCACTCGATGTTGGTAAAATCGAAGAATTTGAAGATGAACTCAAATCAATGGGCGAAGTCGTATTAAGTATGCTTGAAAATCTCTATTATGACTTTGAAAATAAAACTAAAATGTTAAATGAACAAGCAAACAAAATAGATAACCCATATAGCAAAGTAGATGGCTTGTTAGCATTAAATTTGTATTTAAATAACTTTTCTAAAAACTTAAGGCTTAGGTCACATAGTCAATTAAAACATCAAGAAAAAAAATTAGAGGAAACTCACTTTTTTATAAAACGATTTAAACAAAATTGGCCTAGTATTATTGGAAGTTTAAGAAATAGCATTAGACTGGATTGTTTAGGTATAAAACCATTTAATTTTAATTATGAAGCTTTTTACTATGATAAAAATTATCATAATCTAGAATTTAATTATTTAAATCAATTGCTACCTAAACGTTTCATATTTGAATATTACAATGACAAAGAAATCGTTGATGATAATTTAAATATNATCAAAAAGAAATTGTTGATGATAATTTGAATAAAATGCAGACAATGAAAATATTAGACAACTCCGTAATTGATCTGCGGTATTATTTAAAAATAAAACCAAAACGGGATAGNATTTAAAAATAAAACCAGAACGAGATAGTGAAACTGAAAAAATGATGCAACATCGCTTACATCCGACTAATATTTTACTATCAGGCTTATTTAAAGATAAAAGAACTCCAAATGGGATAGATTTATTAACTGGTAGTCCTGACCCTATGGATTTATTTCGAAGTGTACCCTTAAATGCAAAATTAGAAAATGGAAATTACGCTAACATTACAACATTATATGAAATGATACAATACGATATTGATATAAATTGTTTTATCGCATATCAAAGACAAATTATAGCAGCTACAATTCATCCTGTATACTACTGGATTGGTACATTTACACAACTATTGAAAAAAATTGTTTATAGTGAATCAAATGGTATCAGTGAAATCGAAAATCGAGCTAATATATTTAAAGCTGAAATAGGTCTCCTGAACAAATCAATCCAGAAAGTAATAAGAACTTTAATTAGTTATAAATTGTTTCCGGAAAATGTGCAATTAGATCTCGAAATTTCCTTTATTCTAATATTTCAATTAGAAAAATTTTATAATACAAGCGATGAGAGTAATTTAAATGATGAAAGGATTGATCATCTTTATTCGAAGTGTGAAAATACAATGAAAACCCATCTATTAAAATTTGGAATTGATGTAAATTTCCCTGAAATATATAATAAAGAAGATTGTAAAAAAATAATAAGTAGATTGGAAAATAAAATCAAAGAAATTCAATTATATGTTGAAAATTTAATTCATTATAAATACGAATATAACAATATATTTTTTCCTAAACAACTATTTGCCAGTGATTTTAAATTCACAAGTAGATTAAAATGTGACATTGTAGAAAAACATAAGCACGGTAAGTATTTCAATTTTCTTATTTTTAATATATAACTATATAAAAAATATTTATTATTTCAAATTTTCATTTGTTTTATACTTTGTTTACATTAGTAATATTTTTTCTTTATTTTATAAAATCAATTTACACAAATAAATTGATACTATCCATTTCAGGAAATACATTCATTTTCACAGAAAACATTATAATTTTTTTATTTTTGTCGAGAAGAAAATTATTTGATTAAAAAATGTATTAAATTATGTGATCAAATACATTTTTTCTTCCTTTTAGGAAAAAAAAACCCAGCACAGTGGGGTCGTGGCATAGTTGTGTCCAGTATAGATGATATCTGTCTGTGATTAAAATCAATATCATAAAAAACGCTTCGATGCAAATCTGTAGATTGTTTAATTAAAAAAAAAAAATTTGTCAAAAAAGTAGGTCAAATGAGAGCTGAGAAAATAAATGATAGCTACAAAAAAAAACCACATAGTAAAATAATATTAATATGAATTTCTTCTCACGAGAGGAGACTACATTAATGGAATCCTTTATATTTATTGAAGTTATTGAATCTAAATGAGATAAAAATCAATTAATTTAAAAATTTTTAAAAAACTCAAAAAGAATTTAAAAAAATTCAGTGCCACAGTCGTGAAAGACCCAAGTATTACCGTCTCAAAAACCGTACGTCTCATTCGTTACTTAATAAATATGGAAATATTTAGTACAAAAAACATCCTTATTGAAGGTGATTTTTATCGCAAATATTTCATTTTTTTTTTAATTTCGACAGCAATTTGCACATAGTAGATAAAGTGTCGGGACAATTTTTTTTTTTTATTTTATAGTACATAAAATAAGCTTTAATTTTATATATATTTAAAGGACGCAGTATTTCCGGAACATTTTCAAAAATTAAGTTTTTGATTATTATTGGGATTATTAAAAAATATTATTTCTCATAAAAAAATAATGTTGATCCATACACTTTTCAATATGTCATAGCATTATAAAGTTAAAAATGTAAAAAATAAAATCGAGAATTTTCACACAATAATAGCATTTGGTAGCCATTTTTACCGTGAAGATTCGGTTATTTTTTAAAAAGTTATTGCAATTTTAAGGAAAAAAAATTTCAAAAATTTCAAAAATTAGCGATTTTTTAATTTGTAGTTTTTTTGGAGGTTTCCCCCGTTTACGGGGAACGAGGGAATTTTTTTCAATTTTTGAGGGTAATGTCTTCGACTAGATACGATTTGTGATCTTTTGACGTATTGTTGAAAGAAATCGGTCCAGTAAGAGCTGAGAAAAAGTGGCAATAGAAAAAAAAAAAAAGAAAAAGAAAAAAAAAAAACACATTATAGTAAAATTAATACCTTCTCAGCTTCGCATCGAAGCTTAAACGTTTTGTCAATTTTATCAATCTTTCTGGAAAGCACAAACAAATAAAAAATTTTAATAGCATCTTATGTATAATCTTACTTTATCGAAATGCAAAAAAACTTTTCATAATATTAATCTGTAACTTTGACCAATACAAAACATATACCTATATACATATAAAAAAAAATGTAATATATCTTTTTTTTGACTATTCATCTTTTGAATATAATCCACAGACTTTTATTTATATTCAAATGTGTATGATATACACAAATTTTTGATAAAAATAAGTTTTAATTATTGCTACAATTTCTATTGCAATTTTTTATGATTACTAAATAAACATCTTAATATAAACATTTTTTAAATGTGTATTTTTATTATGTTTTAGTTTATCACTTGATGGAAAAATTGAATTAATTGTAAAAAAATAATTAAGAAAACTGCAATATGATATAATATTCATAATAAAATACTTTTTATTACATAACTTGTCAAACTTTAGGTTATGAAATGTTTGTGTATATTTTATTTTTGATTTCAATAAATTTTTGGGTACTTACTCATGTAATTTCTATAATTTTTCTCTACTGTCAATATGTAAGCTACAATATAAGTATTTCTAAAACTACTATTTTTATGTAAAATTGTAATAAAAAAAAATAATAAAACATATTATCTCTAATACATCTTGATTTTGTATGTGGTACCTTAATGTCAATTTATTCTAATGTTGAATAAATTCAAAAAGTTATAACATTAATATGACCTTTTCAAAATTTTCCTATAACAAGCTATAATCATAAATAATTCTTAATAAAATGTGCTTTGAGGATTAAAAAATTACTAAAATATTGCTTTCACATCACTTTTAAATAATACAATCCCTATAAATGGGAGACAATATTAAAAAATTCATTAAAATTCGAAACAACAACATTTTATAAATTCAAATATACAATTCTTCAATATAATAAATTTCAGCGTTCTATATTTTTTTGTTGTGAAATGATAGTGCTGTCAGATGTTATAAATTTTAGTAATTTATTTAATTATATTAAAATAGGAATTACAATTAGTTAATTTATGACATTTAATAAAATGATTCAGAAAAAATTTGTCGCATCAATTTTTAAAAAAAGGACAATTCGATCTTTTTTTTAAAAAAAAAACAATGTTTAAACATTGTTAAAAACAAAATATAATTACATTTTTATTTTAAGTTGATCTTATATAGACNATACTGAAATAGCAGTTAAAATTATTTGAATTATGACAATTAATGAAACGATTCACAAAAAATTTGTCACAAGAATTATTAAAAATAATCATTCGAATTTTTTCTTTTTAGAACAAATTTTAAACATTGTTTTTTAAACAAAATATTTTTATTTTAAATTAATGTTCCTACATATTATATTATTAACACATTTTTTATTAAGGGGAAAATTATTTTTAGTTATAATAAAAAATATAATACTTTAACCTACAAAAAAGTAACATTTGGTAAATAATTTTTTGTATAATATTTCACATATTGTCAGAAATATAATATTAAAATACGGGTTGAAATTATTCACTAAATTTGTAAATGATATTCCAAGTATAAAGTTGTTTAAACAGATAGCTTAATTTAAAATATTACAGCAATTCAAAAGTTATTTTAAATTTAAGTAAATAAAACAGCTAAAAAGATGGCTTTAAAAAATACAAGTTTTCATTGTTAAGTTAAATAGTTTCTGTGTACATAAAAAACAATTATTTATATTACAAATTTCTATAAATGCTATAATTAAGAAGAAGAAATATCAATACTCAATTATATTACTATTATTCTTTTTAGTTTCATTTTGTTCATTTTTGCTGCAGTTAACATGTTAATTAAAATACTCATTATTAGTTTTATACTATCTCTAAATTTGAATAATTTCGTGTTAAGTAAAAGTCAACTCAACTGCTACTATTCTAAGTATATGCTTTATTATTTAGAAACAAAATTAATTTATTTTGAGAAAATTGCATCGAAAAATCCAACTCCTGTTAGTATAATTGAAGAATTTGAAAACGAAATAAAATCTTTGGGAGAAGTTGTTTTAACTTTGTTGGAAAATATATATTATGAAAATGAAAGCTCAAATAATTTTAATAATCCGTATTCCTTTGCAACTGGTTTGCTTACATTAAATTTATATTTAAATAATATATGTAAAACTTTAAGAATCCAGACATATCTTTATTTGACAAAGGGAGAAAAAAAATTAACAGGGTACAAAATTTTTATAAATGAATTTGATAAATATTGCGGTTATATAATTAATTGTCTGAAACACAGTATAATATTTGAATGTTACAATGGTAATTATAATCCACAAACTTTCTGTTATGATAGTTATTATGATAACAAACATCCAAAATATGATTATTTAATTAAATTATTACCAAAAGAATCAGATTACAATAAAAAACATATTGTCAATAGTAAATTGGAAAAATTGGAAACGTTGAAAAAATTGGATGAAGCCCATGTTGAGTTTAAACGTGTAATAATGGAAAAACCACAACGAAATTCCCATACAGTAGACAAAATAAAAAAACAATTACATCCGAGTAGTATTTTGCTATCAGGCTTATTTCAAGATAAAAGACCCACTAATGGGATAGATCAATTAACTGGTAGTTCAGACCCTATGGATTTATTTCGAAGGATATACTTAAATGTAAAATTAAAAAATGGAAATTACGCAAACATTACAACATTATTTGAGATGATGCAGCGCTATTTTGTCCCAAGTTGTATTTTTTCGTATCAGCAACAAATTCTAGCAGCGACAATTCACCCTGTGTACTCTTTAATAGGCACATTAGCTAATTTACTGAAAAAGGTATATTTTAGTGAAGCTGAGGGTTTCAGTGAAATTGAAACTAGATCTAAAGTATTTGAATCCCAATTAAATGTTATAAACGAATCAATTAATGTAGTCATTGAAAATTTAGTAGATTTGAAAATATTTCCTGTAAATTTGCAAATTCACTTAGAAGCCACTTTAATGCATTTTAAAAACATTTCGAAGTGTATTTGTTCAGATAATGTTGGTAATCTAAAACTCAGATGGATTGATCAACTTTATTACAGATGTGTTAGAGCAATGTCATTTAATTTATTGTATTTTGATGTTACAGTGAAAAATATTCAATTTTATAATAAAGATGAATGCAATGAAGTAATAATACGACTAAACAATAAAATCAAAGAAGTCCAATCATATGTACAAAATTTAAGTTATTATAAAGAAGACTATCACAATATTATTCATTATACGGCAGTGTTTTCCAGATCATGTGGGATTAATAATTTTCTAGATTGCAATATAATAGAAAAAAATAATTCAGGTAAATTTTATTAAAATATATTAAGAGAGTCTTTTTTTATTATATCAATTTGTGTAATATTAAGTAATAATAATTTATAAATTATTTCTGTGTTAAAATTTACGATTTAATATTTTAACTTTAAAATGCTATAAATTTAAAAATGTATGAGTTAAAACAGTTTTTTTTATGAATATTTAACACATGCCATTTATATTCGATAAACATTTTTAAAAAAATTGACCATTTACTTTCGTACAGAGGGGTTCAAAATTTGAAAGATACGTGTAAAAAGTAGAACTATTGCAACCTAACTTTTAAAAATTTCTGGATTTAAGTATAAGAGGGTGTGTGTAAGTTTCCCATTTCCCCTACAACAAAAAAAATTTAATAAGATTTAAGTGTAATTATAAATATTTTGCATCATTTAATGTCAACCTAATAAATTTAATAAAAGGATCAGTCCTTTACAATAAAAATTCTTCTAGCTATCAATGGATTATGATAAATTACAATTTTAATTTCATGACTGAAATTATAATGAACTAAAAATTAGAATAATCAAAGTAAGAAAAATAACTTTTTCCCAATATTTTGATAAATCCGTACTTATATTTTTGACATGAATATCCCTTAGAAGTAACGAAATATACAACTAATTTATATTTTTTTATAATTTATCCGTGAAAATTACACAGCAAAATATTGAATATCAATTTCATACTCAATATATTATCTAGAATAGATAATATATTATTTATGATAGTGATTTTAATCGCAATATCACTAATACTTGTCCCCAATGTGCCACGAACACACAAAAATGGGTTTTTTTTAACTTAACTTTTAAATATAGATTTTGTAAGTTGTTGTATAAAGTAATGAATAATTCTTTTGATACAAATCATTATCAAAACATTTTTTTATTACTTATAATGTTTTTACCTTTTTTCAGGTTATTGTTTGATGAAAAATAATTAAGAATTTTTTTTATATGATAAAATAAACAAATAATTTAATTAAATAATTAAAACTATGGTTTCATTGTCGATATAAGAAATGCATAAATATAATACCGAAAAATTTGTTTTGAATTAATTCATAAATAAATCAACATTTATTACTAATTTTACTTGTAATATGTAAGCAATATTAATATTTAATCAAATATATATTTATTATTGAATTCAATAGTATATGTTTAATCTTATTTACTATATATTTTTATATATAAAAATATATATTTACTGTATATTATTTTAACTTAATTGATTTTTTATTTTTTAATGACCATTTATACCCTTTAAATTTTTTATAAATTTTAATTTACATCAATTTTTACTAGATTTTTTTCAATTGCTAAATGCAACGGACAGAGGTTGAGGTACGACTAATAAAAAAGACTGTGATGTTGCAACAGATTCATATTAGGGTGATGTGCTATACTCACTTGTGTTCTGCATCATCAATGAATTGTACAGTTGGACGGGGTTGTGTTTTTACAGTGCCATTGTTTTTGTTTTTTATTATGCTGACGTGCAATTATGCATAATTAATAATTATTATTTAGAAGGTAATTTGTATGTTACACCGAGATGTATCTTATTCGATTGCATCAAATGTAATTAAAGCGTATGACACGATTGTTGTACAAAATTTCAAAATACTGTTGTGATACCGTTCATCTCTCTATTTTAATATTATTCGCAATGTGTATCACAAAATAAAAAAATTGATATCATAGCATTAATCACTTATGTAATTAATACAATGTATGTATTTGTTCAGTTTAAGATTAATATCTATATCATAAAATTTATGATTAATATTTATATTTATATTTAATATAAACACTGTAAATTAATCTACAAAGACAATGTAATAAGTAACAGTTTCCCTATTAAAAATCAAATGTACCATAACCAATGTAACATATTATCCCTGCTTATAATTTTCATTTCAATAAAGATAGGAGCCCTGGTGGTCAATTCTTACATTTTGATGACATATATAGATCATAGATCTCATATAAAAAGCCGTAAAAACCTATACAATTCGCGCATTCCACCTTTCAAGTCAAGAATCAAATGCAGCAATTAACCACCAGTATCAAAAATATTAAAAAATAAACTTGTCAGTCTTGTTCATTTCAATTCCGCAGAAAACATTATAAAATAGGTAATACATTATAATTCCGATAATTTGGAATTATTTAATCCTAGAAGAGAATGACAAAACAATAATAATTAACTTCTCTTTTCTCATTCAAATTTATTGACTGGTTTGTCAGGAGAATTATTAAATGCGTTCGAAGTGCTTGACCTAAGAGCATACCTACGCATTTTCTTATTACGTTTCATAGTTTAAGCTATTGCCATTGGAACGTAAGACTGATTCAAATGATTTACCAAATCTTATAAATTTGATATATGCATTTAATTTCAATACTCATCATAACATAAAAGCGTTCGCTCAATTCTTATAGCTTTATATTTTGTCCCTTCTCAGAGTTTTATTACACATCTAAAAAATTATTTTATTTTATTATATGGTAATTTTCAATAATTTTAATTTTAATTAAAAATAATTATTAGTAAAACCTGATTTTATTAATCAGATATTAGATACTATTCTTCTTTTTCTACTTTTTCTTCGCCTATATCACAACTACTTGGAGTTGGGTGGTAATTAATGACTCTAATCAAGTATATGAAACTAAAAAATACCAAAAATAATTTTCTGAAAATGTTCAACTAAATGAGGTCAGCCATTCTTATACTAAACATCCACTTGACACGATCTCCCACATCATTTACGCACACATCAGCATTTCTTATATCGCATTCAATAACATCGATTCATCTCTTTTTTGGTATTCTTTTACCACTTCTTCCTTCAACATTCATTTCCGTAACTGTTCTTACAGCTTCCGATTCCTCTCTGCTCATAACACGACCAACCATTTAAGTCTATATTCTCTTATCTAATCCTCGATTGATGCTACACCTATACTTCCTCTTATATGTTCAATCCTTATCCTATTCTTATCTAGCCACTTCTCCGCCATCTTAGCGCATTTTCAGCTATGGCGCTTGCGAGCCAGTAGTTTCGTATTTCGTTTTGTTGTAAAAGTAAAACATCACCTTTGCGATTGTCGCACCCTCGTGCGCTCAGTATAACGTCTTTGGGTCTATATATATATATATATATGTTCTGAGATACATCACAGTGCCGTTCACAGCATATTGTACACGTTGGTCAGCTACTTGCACTCGACTTCAACCGATCCTTTAAATATTCAACATTATCATCAGCCGTTTCAATTAGCCGATAAGTATAATGCTTGTTTTTAAGACTTACTCACATATATAATTTATTATTTATTTATATCAGCGCCATTGTGGTATTTTTAATCATGGCCCCGAGGCATGTCAAAGTAAATCTAGAAGAAAAGACACTCGCATGCATTTTACGGAATAGTTCCCTTGAGTGGATTACTGAAATCCGTATATTCGCCATTAAGGTTAAGACAGACATTAGCCTTAAAGAACAGCTTGAAGTACGCGTTCGACAATTAAATGTTTTCGAAGAACAGTTCCGCGAACATCAAGACGCTATTGTAAGCGCGTTAACAGAACTCGATCGCGTGGAACAGTGCCATAATATCGACTGGCCGGTGAACGAAGAAATGTGAAAACATGTTCTATGATATTAGTGCTGCTGAGTCCCTAGTTCAAAACGCGAACACACCCCAAACCCGCTGTTGCTGCGCTCGGCCAATCGTTATACAACAACACGTATGCGAATAAGAATTTTAAATTCGATGGTAATACACAGACTGAACTGCTTTCTGTGATACATTTAAATATATTGTGAACGTCGATTCCAATAAAATTAGGCGATTCCATTTCCTTCTTTCATGTTTGTCCGGATCCGCGCTCATAAAACCTATGCCAATTATGATATAGCTTGGAACGCGCTTATTGATAAGTATGAAAACAAAAGAGTGTTAGCAACGGTACACTTGGACACAATATTTTCATTTCAACCTATGAATCATTTTCCTCTTTGCAACTTTCTTTGAATGTGTTCATAAGAAAACATTGGGACAGATTTTATTGCAAAAACTTATTAAATACGCTCAACATTTGCACAGATGAATTTGATCACCTAAACTTAGTTTACTTGAAATTTCGAAAGAACCAAAATCGGAATATCTCAAATTTTTTTCTCTAGTATCTACAATTCTCTATACAGAATAATCAATTTTAGGAAATACACTCATTTTCACCGAAAATTTTGAAAAGGTTTTGTATTGTAAAGAAGAAAATGATTTGTTACAAAAATGTACAGCATAATGAGATCAAATACTATTTTTTTCATCCCTTTAGAGATAAAAAAACAATTTTTCAATTTTAGCAACTTTACTGGACAACAAAAACAAATTTAAAATTTCCATGTTATCTTATATAAATAGATATTACCGACATGCAAAAAACCTTCTTATAATATATATATATCCGTTACTTTGACACATACAAAACATTTGTATCTATGCTTATAAAAAGAAATTAAAAAACCTCTTATTGTGAATTATCATCTTTTAAATAAAAGCCATAAATTTTTATTTATTTTCAAATATGCATGTTTACACAAATTTTCACTAAAAATAGATTAAAGTAATTGTTATAACTCCTATTATATTTTTTATAATTGCTATATAATAATTTTTAAAATACATATTTTTATTTTGTTTCAGTTTATAACTTGATGGAAAAAATGGTACAATTATAAAAAAATATTTAAACATTTTTAATTGTTAAGTTAATGCCTGTTAATTTGATCAGTTAAAAATAAAGTCATTTTTCTTAAAAGTATTTCGTGGAAAACAAATTAAAAAACCCAGCACAGGGGTGGGGCGCGGCACAGTGGTGCCATGGTACAGTTGGATCAAGTATAATGATATCTGACAGTGATTAAAATCACTGTCAAAAATAAACGCTTAGATGCAAATCTTTAGATAGTGTTTAATCTTTAAAAAATTGGTGTTTTTTCCAAAAGCTACTTGATCTGCTGGTTCCTTATTAATATCTCGATTAAGATAAAGTATGTCGAATGAAAAAGGGTTTATTAAAAAATATTATTTCTCATAAAAAAATTGTGTGGATCCATAAACTTTTCAATAAGTTATAGCATTATAAAGTTAAATATAATATAAATAATAAAATCGA